TAGGGAAATTTTTATCAACTCCCTTTTCCTCGCTTTCTCGGAGGAGAGGAAGAAGTCAGAAAGTCAAAAAAGGGATGAAATATTAACGCGAGCAAACACAGGACGAAAAATAGTTTTAGATTGTAAATGGAAGACATTTGGGATTCTTCAAAAGTATCTAAAATAGTAAAAGTCCACTAACGATCCGAATCGCCAAACGAAACACATTGGCGAAACATTTTTAACAGATAATGAACTTTTCACATGAAGAATTATATCAATCATAAGTGAGTAAGTGTTTCATAATGAAGAGTGGTATCAGAGGAGTAAACACACCAGTCATTGTTGTGTAACATCGAAACCAACATGTCAAAAAGGGAATGTACAAAAAAATAGTCACTGAGGAATTTTAAAAGTTACTTATCAAAATCTATTTAATTTCAAGGGAGGGAACTGATGACGAATGTTATATAATAAGAAAAAATGTAGCACTCGCATCCATGAGGAAGCATTTCATAATGAAAAGCGGAACCATTACGTTATCTTGGCATTGATCGAAGTTGAATGTTGTCGTCTGCGCAACTTTAGTTTAAATAAGGAAGCAAAGGAAAGTAGCCACATAATCAAAAACCCTTTTCAAAGCCTGCCAATTACTCCCTGTACAGATGGTCAGATGTACGTAAATTATTGGATGGTTAGAAAAGGGAAAAGAAATTATATCAATTGAAGAAGGAGATTCTTACCTCTACAGCTTTGGTTCCATAATCCCTTTAAAAAATACATTACACAGTTTGTGTTCTGTATTTTTTTTCCCTCTTCTAAAGAAAAGATATTTTCCCTCGGGTATGGTATAACATGTACTTTAATGCATTAATAAATGTATTCCATATGTAATCGATACCAATTAGATGACAACTCATACAAGGACTGTCTTGAATCATTCTTGATATTCTTGTTGATATTTCTGTTTTTTCTAATACGTGTATTTTCGATCTTTTCAAAGTTATTTAATTTCTTATTCAGGGATTTTCCATTTTATGCTAGCACTGTCTGTAAAGTTTCCGGCAAAACCCAATTACTTTCTCATTTTACAATGTCGTGATATTTCTAAATTTGCAGGAAGACAGGAAGAAGTATACGAAAGCACAAGGATAAGGATAAGGCCACGAGGTAACATGTATCTCCCTGACACACCAGTGTGTTAAAAGTCATTGAAGTCGACAGGGGAATCAACTGTCGTTATTAATTTTTTGAAACGAAATATGTATATACAGTATATTCAGCGCATAAAACAACCGATATATGGTTAGGGCTTAAGTGTTTCGGGTGCACTTTAAAAAGAACAGGAACAATCCGAACATTTCCTTCAAACGACATATAAGATCACCCAATCTCATCAACGAATGGCGTACCTCTACAGCCTGTGCTGGTTAAAACTCAGAACAGTAGAACAGTTGACCTTACTATGGTCAGAATTAAAATAAGAAAAAACCAGAAATATTTTACTATATATTTAACCTATATATCACAATGTGATTGTTATCTACTATTATATATAAATTTTGTAATCCTAAACTGTACTTTCGTTAATCTTCTTTACTCTGGGGTAACAAAGGATTATTAGAAAAACCGGCATGCTGAATATTTACTTTAAAGGAGAGTTAGTTTGAAGCTGAATTGGTCATTAAAGTGGTCGATGTATATTCGAGTGTATCTGCTGATGCCCATGAAAAATTGGATTCATAATACAAATACTATAATTTCCTTTTCAAACTATAAAGTTTGATTATAGTACAAACAAAACTCAAATATAAGAATTTAATGTAATAGAAATAATGAAAAAGGTCAATTCACTGACAGATATCTACTTTAACCTGAAATTATTAAAAACCTAGTCCCACCATGGGGTAAAATTGAATATTATAATAAGGTGATATAATACATGCAAAGTATGATAAGATAGGATTACAAAAATCCACGACACCTTTATGGCTTTAAGTAATCCTAATATCGTGATCTTTGTTCTTCTCGGAACATATTGCATTGTGTTGACTTCAGATAGTCAATTTGATTCGTTCACCAAGACGGAGATAGTATTATATACATCTAAATAACCTAATAGCTATATGGATAAAGAGTAAAATGCAGTAAGTATTTTTTTATTAGAAAAGACAAGCGAGAATGAGTTATATCAGTAAGTCCTGAAATGCAGAGTAGTAGATGTGCTGTCGAGTTCATAAACTGTAGACATTGTTAGGTAAGACGTTCGGACACATTGTGAAAATAACCATTGTTTAATATTACTAGGCAATTGTAGATGATCAGTACAAAACGTACATTGCAATCTTCGTGATTCTCACATTTTCAGAAGTCATCTTCAATAGGTTGCATTAATAAGTTTCATACTTGTATTCAGAAATCAGGTGTTTCCAAAGACTCGCTACAATACTTATAATGGTGAAAGCCCTGTAGGTAACGTTAATATGACATATAAAAGTAAATAACTGGCCATGCGAGCACTAGAAATGGAACGACGAGGAGTTAACACACCCATTCGGTAATTGATTTAAATAAATTTAATGTAAAAATGGTATGTAAAAGGAGTTTTTTCTTATAATATGTTTATCGTGTGGATGTAGTCCTTATAACTGACACGTACATGAACGATTCTCTAAAAAAGCTCAACATAACTAAACCTTTCAGTTTGAAAGCTGATTTGAACATCTTAAATTGCCGATATTTTGATGTGTCTACCGAAGAAATGCTTTATATATAAGGTAACGGTAAATATGTTAAAAGAGAGAGGTTAGTATCCGGCTAGTATGATATCATATGGTAAAATATCAAGTTTGCTGATTAGAAAATTCAAATATAACGTTATAAATCGACTGTCACGTAAAATTATTGATATGAATTGCATATTATTATCAAGGAAATGTGTACAGGTGTGTACAGACTCTAAGTTCTGAAGTATTCGTTGTTATGGATAATAATCTGTCTTATGACATTTTTGATTTATATGCAAACCACTTGGACGATTTCTGGGTTCACAAATATTAATATATACGATAAGGCACGCGTGACATAATAATTGTCAAAATAACCCAGAATATCATTGCATAATAGAACTTGATTGAATTCCAATATTCTATTCAAGTATTAGTAAAATAACAGCTGTTACCAAGATAAAAAGAACAGGGAGTCAGATTACAATTAAAGAAAGAAGGGATCCATAAGACTGCAGACTATCGATATTCTTTAAGTGGAAATATTTTTGATAAAAAATTCCATCATATCTCACACTCGTTCCCCTATAAATTCCAAAAGTTTGCATCTACATTCGTAGTTGTTACGTTGTATGTTCGATTGAGTGCAATTTCAAAATGTTCTTTTGTTAAAACTTCAAGATTATCGTCTGTAGACTTTAGATTAACCTTTTAGGGATATGAATGAGGAAAATAGGCTACCTCAATACTATTTTAAACTGTCTTACGTGAGAATAGCTAATAGTGCTTGTGTTCAACTCCCAAAAGAAAGTGCTTCATAAAGGTCCCTTTTGATGCAAAATAGACTTGCTACCGTTTTAGTTTATAAAAATGTTGCTGGGTTTGTTGTCGCAAACATCAAGTCTTTCTATAATGAATCGTGTAAATGTGCTAAACCATTTTTATAAGTGTAACACGCATGATCTGCGAACCACTTAAAGCGAAAATGACATGCATAGTCTGGATTATCAGATTTAACGCTACATTGTTCTAGATCGTGAACCAGATTATGTACAATTTCTTTTACATTTTCTCCTGGATGAAATAATATATATCATGCAAGGTTCCTATTGTCGTGCGATCAGTTTCCAACGTCACAATTGGCCATTCGTAGCTGATCGTTGAAGGTTTGTGATACGAGTCATAATGTTTTGAGACGATTTGTTATGTTCGTATACGATATGTTCACAATTTTTTAATTCTCGATATCACGGTATGATCATCGGATTAGATACGTTTCGTTTTATCCCAGATTCCCGCTATCACGATTCGCGGCACGGTGGCAATCTGATCAATCTTATCTGATCAAGTCTGTCGTAGCAATGGTGTTAATCGTAGAAACTTCTGGAACGGCTCAAAACAGCTTCTACGACCAACCGGATCAACACAATCATTTGTCGATAGGAATCATGGTATCAGATCGTATTACAACGTAACAAAGCGAGACTGATTGCATCTAATCGAGCTTCCAAATCGTGTTGATTGGGGTTGATTTTAGACTTTGACTAGTGAGAACTTAGCATTACGACAATAGTGTTTTGTCTCTTAAAAGTACATAAAACTAATTATGTGACGTTATTTTTTAGATTTCCTAAGAATTCTTCTTATGTAAACTGATGAAAGTGCAATACATGTTGATCAGTACTAGTCTCAGATAAATATTTTGAAGGTTTTTTTTTTGAATTAGTGTAATAAAATATAGAGAGGTACAAACAACAATATAATATTTCAATCTCTTAAAATTTAGTATCTATACAAAGCTGGGCAATCAATGGCTCCATCAAGACATTACTGGATATTCTACAATGCGTGGGTGTCTCACATGGTACAAAATACAGTCGAGGGGTAGGGTATAAAATGTATTGCAAGTATTGGCGATCATATGCGAAAAAAACTTTATCCTTCTTTAGGCCCTAAATTATAGTTAGACAAATATCAAGCGTTTTAAAAGTCATCATCTCATGTGATATCACCCAGACTTACCAGGGCTTACAAAAAATCGTTAAACGACGTTTGACAGAAATCGCATTGTGCATATGTCCATCGGTGGCTTCGTGCCCGAACCATTTTCATAGTCATCAGTCTGTTTATCAAGGTTAAATAAACCAATAAGTCACAGAAAATAATCGAGTTATATTTAGCAATGTTTATAATCGGATAAATAACAAGTCAGGAGAAGTTCATATTATAAATTATTATTACATATATGATCCTATACAATTAGCCACAAACGTCATTCGGTAACTTTGATGTATGGGAATCACACGCTTAGCTTCAGTAAAAGCAATAAACGTTTATCAAATGGCATTATGTAGGATACCTGGACACAATTACATGTTTTTAAGGTAAGCCCTTTTTAATGGCTTTTGATATTCCTTTTTGCATTTTACATATTCCTAGGTTGACAGCAGGTTATTTATAAGAAAGGTTTTGGACTAATCAGTGCGGAAGCAGTGCATGGGCATTTTATCAGGAAAGCTTTAAGATCTTTATGAGGCAATGTTAACCAGTAAAGAGAATGCCATGAAAATTTCTGAAAGCAGTCTCAGTGTTATTATACACAACCTGAACTAGATAATGTGGAGGCAAGGAGATTATTATAATATATCAGGCTTGATGCGTATGTATAGTATTTCAATATCAATATCTTCTTTTACCTGATGAGATAAAAGATTCATTTCTCCGGCTCCTGACCGTTCAAGGCTGTAGTGTTGACTCTCAGAACTTATAAGAACCTACATCAAAGGCATCATCTTGTATGTATTTTATGTATTTTAAGCAATCTGAAGCAGTTGGAAACAGTAATGGTTGTTGACCAATTTATTGAAACAATATAACATGCACGTTTCAACCACTATTGACCTGTGTATGATTTGTCTTGCTACATTTACCATCCATTGAATATGATACGTTAGGTAAAGGAATAATCAATGATTAAGTTTCACAGCTGTAATTATTTAAAATCAATCGACCATTTTCCTTTTGGTTCATTAACCTCCGAATTGTTCAGTGAAGCGAGTATATCCTATTAATACTTTCGAAATAAAGTCTATGATACGTAAAGTTTTGATTATGTTTTCTTGCGTCAAAATATATAGTCTAAAAGTTGAGTAAGAAACTCCGGTCAGCAAAGTAAAGGTATAGGAAACAACAGTTATTATTACACAACAATATAAGGTTTGACAGAAGTTTGTACTACGATAAGTATAAAAGTCTACTCCAATAAAGAGTTCCACACACCTTGGCTATAGGAATGATATTTGAGTATGGATAAGTGGATAAAGGGAATTATTGAATGATATTAGATTAAATATTAATTTTAAATGTCCATATCGAGTTTGACAAGTAACGTGATATGCCTTAATATTTTTTAAAAGCTTTACTGTGTAATATGTCAGTTTGTCTATAGAATGGTATAACATTACATTTACATTTCATGCTTATACAAATATTAATTTTCAATTGTAATGTATTCATGAAGCATACTTGCTTATCAGACGGTTACTTGGTTTTTGATATAAACTTTCTTTAGACTTTGTTTCGTATAATCACAGGTAGAAACTTTGTGACTACTGAATTCATTTACCTATATTTAAAGGCAGGAGGGCACTGTGGGTGGTAAGTCAGTTTTCATTTTCATTTATCAGGTATTAGTTTTGATTATTATTTCTGTCAGCTCTCTGTCAGGGTTTATTATCTTTATTAATGAAGATTATATTAGCAGATGCCATGTATCAAAATTGTATAAAAGTACAGAAACGTTAATATATGGATTGATTTCATATGTTTTAAGGGATTGTAAAGAGATTTTCTCAATTATTATAGCTATCGGGGACAATGATAGCATCGATTTTCAGCGTTAATATTTTCAGTCAGACGTCTGTGGTTCTTGCAATTCGACTCATACCAAGCGCTTTCGATAGGATATTAATAGCAGCTTTTGCGATAGCATTTCTATAATAAAATAGTATCACTCGAAAATGGAATGATAAAGATGAAATTACAAGTCATAAATGGTCCCGATACACATAATAAAAAGCTAGAAATATTATTTACAACCCTTTTAAGTCAGAATGTGTTTATATTAAACAAAAAAAAGTTTTGTTTTGTCTATCAGCTTCCCTTTCATGTGAAATATCTATATAAATTGGTTAATAGAGCTATATTAGTAGATGACCTGTGAAATATTTTATCATAAATCTTACTTTAGATCAAATGATATTGCTTTACAAAATGACTATTTAGTCAATGTTAAGAAGATGGGGTATACTTGTTTATATTTGACAACTGGTTGCGTGTCTTTGAGCAACTGATTATTCACCAAATTAAAAATTCACCACATTTTGTCTGCTACCAAAGTGACGAATCAAACAAAGAATAATTAAAAGTGTAAACCGTATGAATATTTTATTTGTTTACCTCGGATGATTTTTACTTATATCTAACGGGATTTACAACAACTATTTACCCATATATCTTGCAAGAGAACCTGCATGTCGGAGTAAATAATAAAAAAGAAATATAGATATATAGTTATATTAAAAGTATGATCATTTAGTACCAGATCCAACATATTTAATACACCGCCAAAGAGATAAAATAATCTACTATAGTCTATCAAATTATTGGCATAAAACTAGTATTATTACTACATATTTTTTACAAAAATATTCTACTATGACATTGTTTTTTTCTTTTAACTTTCTTGTCAACACCGCAAACCAGTTCTTCTTCATCTCGAATATCACTCACTGTAAAATATGCGACAATTCTTAACTATCTGTTCATATCAGCAATATTCCTAGGTCACCAGCCACTCTCGTGTCTAAATTGTTTTGCTATGCTAGAACTAGAGTTTTGTTTTTGCACACACCAAGAACATGTTCGTCAATCGAAATCACAAATCATTGTTCAGTTCAGTAAAGGTTGGTTTGTTTCATTGTGAGTGTTGTTGATAGTTGGAGGTCTGAGTATCAACTGACTGATGTGCGGTTGGTAGGATTACTGGTAATCCTTGTAGTTGATAGTTGCATCAGGAGCAAATGGATGGTTCGGTATTGTTGGTCCAGTAGTAGAAAACTACTCCTCAGATCTGATAGTGTCGATGAAACGCGATCTGCTTCATTCTGATAAACTCGTTGTGATCATGGTAATTTGTGTTGAATATTAGTCGTTAAAGTGCTGAATTAAGCGCTCCATGATGTCTTAACACGGATATTGGTTTCTGTTCTCTAAATAGCTTACCACCATAGTGTGTGGTAAAGGAATCAATAACAATCTAGATGATTGGGTATTAACTTTATCAATCGTTAAGACTTTTAGTACTTTGTTTTCGTCTTTCTATATTTGTTCTCGACTTTCTTTCAAGGTAAGACGATTGTTATAGCATTGCTATTTTTTTCACTAAACATAGCTGGTAAAATTGTATTGCAGATTATATCACGTAATAATTAATCGGAATATTTATAATGGGGTAGGGTCTATTTCATGAACGCTTTAACAAATCCTTAATATTGTTGATCTATATATTATATAATATATATTATATTTGAAAGTACATTTAAAAACAAATCTAGATTAATGAATGCGAATTATCAAAAGGCTTTTTTTTCAAAAGTGATTAATATCAACTCTCCAGATGGTTACTGTTTATTTTTACTTTTTTTTCAAATAATTGTTGAGACATTAAATATAGAAATTGACTAATGTTACGACAGCCATGAACATCATAATGACTTCTTTAGGGTAAGGTATGGTCTATGGGAGGCAATATCTTGCAAGAGCGCAGATGCTATTAAAGAGATTGTAAAAAGGTTATCTAAATTTTATATATGTTTCGGGGACACACATAGCATCGATGTGCACCATTCCAATTTTCAATCTTACGTCTGTAATTGCGTTAATTCCTTGATGACATCACTAATCGCGAAGGTATCGCGACAGACGTCTGACTGAAATTGAAATGGTGCAAGTTGATGCTGTCACAGATATACATACAAAATTTAGAATTCTTTCAAGGCCTTTGTGTTTTAGGGTTCGGAATATTTTATTGTATAAAACAAAAGATATGTATAGCATGCCGTAATTATAGATAGTGTATTTCAAATTCCGGATGTAGTGAGAGGAAGACTTAATTAGGTTGAGGTATCGTGTATTTTGTTAAATGGAGTACAGCCGCCTTGAAGAGCTTTGTTAGGGTTTGTTCTTATCTGCATAAAACAAAAGATATGTGTAATCTACCGTAACTACAGACAAATTATTTGAAATCACGGCTGCCGTATCTCTATCCTTTGCCTTAAATATAATCTACTTATGTCTTGAATACAATAATAAAATATTTTCCCTGTTACAATAATACAACTATGCATCAATTGTAGAGCGATATAGAACTATTATTTCTTAGATTCTGTTTTAATATTACTATATATTCAATATTATACTGTATTATTTCTACTTTCAGGTAATGGAACTGCTATAACTTATAATGACATCTACTTTACGATACGCCAGAGGCAAGGAAGTTGGGGCGGTAGCTTTCAACATTAAAGAACAGAAATTCCTAGAAAAAACCATGCAGACTATAGAAATTGAGAGAAATTATTCCCTTAAACTGTTGGATTTAAACCACAGAATAGTGAGAGTTAATCATAAGAAACTCAAAGATCGGGTGGGCAGGATTCAATCACACTTAAAAGCTGATGAAATCCAAGAACTACGCGACAAAGAAGCGACTGGTGATTTGAAAATATCTTCCAATTGTATTAATCTAGGAAGTGCAAGGAAAATTGCATCTGCCGCTAAAAGGTTGCACCTTTCGGAATCTTTCAAAAGACCTTCGTCACATGCTACACCAAGAATGCCCCCTGAAACAGCTGTATTACTCTTTCGACCCCATTCTGTTTCCGGTGCATTCATGAACGCTCCTATTACTTCCGGACATCAACATCGACACCATACACATTTAAAAAGTAATAATGACCCAGGAGTTAATGATAGTGTATCTTCAAAAACTAGTGATGATTCTTCTGATGCTGTGGACAATGCTACTCACCTACCACGTCCGAATACCACAGTGGGCGCTACCAGAACTCGTTCAGCTCTTTTGCCAAGTCTTTCTACTGCTCCAGCTCAATCTACCACTCAAATGTCAACCAACAGCCAACGGGAATCTAACCCTGGCTTCTCCTCTCATAATCCTCTTTCAAGAACACTGTCAAGATCACACTCGTCTTGTAGAGCTTCGGGGGTAGTGGACGAAGCGATCGAAAGCAATTTGGGAGAGGACATTTACGAAGAGAGACGCCAAGACTTACTTCGTTTTCAAGAAGCACACGCTTTAGTTTTGGAAAAGCGGAAAGATGAGTTTATAAAAGATGTAGATAGTTATATAGAAGAGATTAAACTGGCGACCAAAAGAAAGAAAATACCACAATTTCTAGAGAGAACTTGCTCTGAAAATGAATCTGACAATGGGGAACATTCATTTGAAAAATCACCTATACCACGACGACGTGTCGATTTCGATGGCATCCCGACCCATATGCCGGAATTTGAATATGCCAAACGCATAGAAAATCTTTGGAGTGGAATGACTAAATGCCGATATTTACGAATACCTGATGAAATATTAGACTTGTCGGGAATAAAGACATTAGCCAAGGATCAGTTTCAATTACATACTGTATGGAAAGATAATGCACCTGTTAACTGATTCCTTTATCTCCATGAGCGTTTTTCCTGCAATTTCGTTTTCATTTTATTTTGGGAAAGACCCCATCTGTGAATTACTACCCCCTGTATGTGATAGATCGTTTCAGGCGTCAGTCGTCAGGCACTTGATGATTCTACTTCGGATAGTCGGAATTGCTATCATGTGTGTTTGACTTCTGAAAATTTACGCCGTTAGAGAATTTGTCATCACATATGCTCATTTTTCAAGGACATTGATTTTAAACCCTGCTTGCTTGTGAATGTGGAAACCCTGGATATTTCATCATGTTTCAGTGAACACAAACTGCTGATATATTTGCCCAACAGTAATCCACACTAATTGAACTAATTCAAGAACCGTTATATATACTAAATTCTCTTGAAATGATTTAATATAAATAAATCTCGAACATAATGAGATAGAAATACCTTATGCTTTCATTTGATCCAAATAACGATCCGAAAGAAAAGTAAAATATATGATTTTCCAAAAATATATAGGCTACTCGTATCTATGGTTTATCTAGCCTGTAATTATCATTCTGATGCCAATAACGAAATCTACAGAGCATAACAAGGACCACGAATTAGCAACCCCTTATTAAATTTTGTGTATTAGATTAAGGAGATTCATAGATATTTTATTTTTCATTTTCACTCGCACCCCTCGAAATATCTCATAACGCCTCTCAAAAGCATTGCTTCTGGTTTCAGACTTATCGTGGGTCAGTGGTGAAATGCCCCATG